TGCTCCTGCTGATGAAGGGGCTTCCTGTTGTCTTTTAGCCTTAGTGAGGCCAGATGGGGCTGCAGGTCTCTCAGGTGTTTCTGGATTCTTGTGAAGCAACTCCCACTCCACCCCAGGCAGCTGTAATTCTCTTCCTCCTTATTTCCATGTGTAACCTCACAGTGAACTCTCCCCTGCCTGAGATAATTGGTTGGTCTCAGTTCTTTGCAACCCAGATAACTGAAATCCCTGTTCTACCCAGTGCAGATGGCCCCTGAGGAGTTACCCCTGTTACAATGGTGGGTACCTCCCTGGGGTCCGGGATATACTCGTAGGTGCCCAACACAACCTGGTTCTTTCTAAGTATATTATGAAATAAATGTGGCCACATCCTTGCTTTTGAGATGACCTTCTTATAGATGTTCTGCAAACTATCTTCCTTCTCCCAACAAGCAGAGTACAATAAAATCAATGTGGTATAAGCTTTCTTAATTACAGTCAAATCCCAGTCCTGTCTTCTTGAGGTTAACATCAGATCCCCTTGATTAAAATTGGATTTTGAGTTTTCCTAAAATTCTTCAATCACAGCCAAGTCTGAGGTTGTATCATTTCAGTAGGTGGCTGGGCCTACATGTGGCAACTTGATTCTTTCTAATTCTCCCCAGCATTTAAACATGTTCAAGTCCTGTCATTTTCATTTTCTTTTAAACCACAATCCAACAAAAAAATAATAATTTTATATCATAACCTGGTACACATGTATACAAATATATTGAAAATAAAAGTTTCACCACACTCTTAAGTTTTTCCATTTTTTCCTTTAAAAATGTTGATCTTGACACAATTTTATAACAATGTTTCATGATGCACAGTTTGAAAATTATTGGTCTAGTTTATCTTTCCTTTAAAGTTTTGCTTCTCAAACAGGTCTTTCTTTGCTCTCTCTGGTTCTCATTTAACAGTAACGTCTTGAGAAAGTAGTTAGCTATCCCCTTTCTCATCTCTCATTCACTCTTCAATTGACCAGGTTTTGTCTCTAACCCTATCCTGCCCAGAAGCTGCCCTCACTAAGGTCTCTAACATCTTCCTTGTTGATAAACCCCAAGTTTTCCAACTGTTATCTTACCTGGGCTTCCAGCAGCCTTTGACATAGCTAGCTGCTCCCTCCTGGGAGTGTTCTTTTGCTGTGGCTTCCTGAGGCTGCACTCTTCTAGTCTTCCTCCTATACCTCTGCTGGTTAATTCCCAAGATTATCTTCTGCTGCTACTCTAGGAGTCACACAAGGCCTTTCTCTTTCCTCATTTTATATTCCATTCTTGGGTAGTTTCATTTCTTCTCATGTAGGACACCTGAGAGGTCCCATACCCTTCTCGTCAGCTCAATCTCTCCTCCTTGTTTCCAGCACAAATCACAGGCCACAGGCTGTGATGTGAAAGTTTCCATACCTGAAATTTTGCTTGCTTGAAAACCTAAACATTTGAAACTCTAAAGTTTTGATCTGCTTTTCTGTAATGATAGTTCTCCTCTGAGGTAATAAGTGCCACTGAATGAAAGGGAGATAAGGCAAGGGGTATAAAGAATGTGAGCATACAGCCATAAAATATGATGAAATATTGCCATTTTTAATAATATGGATGGATCTTGAGAGCATCATGCTAAGTAAAATAAGTCAGATGGAAAAGGACAAGAACCATATGATTTCACTCATGTGGGATATAAAACAAAAAGCAACAAACAAACAAAACTAACAAAAACTCACAGACACAGACAACAGAATGGTAGTTACCAGAGGGGAAAAGGGTGGGGGGGGGTGAAGAGGGTTAAGGGGTCAAGTGTATGGTGCTAGAAGGAGGCTAGATTTGGGTGGTGAGCACATAATGGAATATACAGATGATGTATTATAAAGTTGTAGACCTGAAACTTATATAATGTTATTCACTAATGTTACCTTAATAAATTTAACTTTAAAAAAAGAATGTGAGGGCCGGCCGAGTGGCGCGTTGGTTAAGAGCTGGCCTGGGACGCCAAAGGGCCCCGGTTCGGATCCCACATATGAGGGCCAGTGACACTGCCCTCTACAGCTAAGATGCTCAACAACAGCTCAACCTGGAGCTTGGCAGCCGTGAGTCGCCGGCGACGGTGTAGGCTGTAGCCCCTGCTGTAGCAGGGTTGCCATGAGCTACCGTGTGTAGCCAGCAGCCAGCGTGAGCGGCCGTCCAGAAGCCGGGGACTGATCTGCCTCGCCCGGAAAGAGCGCAATGATGGTGCCAACTTGGGCCAGTGAAGCAACGTCCTCCACAACTAGACTGAAGAACAAAATGACAGCAACTTGTCT